ATAAGTTATAATAGTTGTTATATTCTAGATCGTTTTTTTTGTTTAGTTTTACGTTTTTTGTTTAGCTTAATCACGCATCAATATAATCAGCTATTCAGTTTCCTTAAAATCTTTTCTAAAGATTGTTAAATCTCTCTGTTAGATAATTTTGATCCTATCTTCGAAATAATCTAGAATATACCTTTCTAAAATATTATCTAACTATTTTATGCTAATTAATATATTTCTGATTCTCCTAATTATCACAAACAATCTACAACTATAAATATCCATTTAGGTTTGACGTACCTTTCTCACCGAAATCATCTCAGCACCATTCTCATATCCTACAATTAAAAATACAGCAGAAATGGCTATGGTTAGTCGCTACACTCCTCTTAACAACTTGAAGCCTGTCAAGACTTTTTGGTGTATTCAAGTTAGTATACTTCATTCGTGGATTTATTTTACAAAAAGTTCTGGCATGTCTTTGGAAATGATTTTGACAGATGAGGCTGTAAGTACCATTGAAATTTTATACAATTCTCTTTGTAATATATGAGTCGTAAGTTTTAAGTCATCTTATTTTAATTACAGGGTAACAAAATTCAAGTAGACATAAAAAACGAACACATTAGCAAATTCCAAAGGTATGTTAAACCGTTTTTTTCCTTTTTTTAAAAACCATAAAACTGGGCCCACAAACCCAATATAATCCATTAAAAAACTTAGACCCAATACAACTATTTTTTTTGTTTGTTCACAATTACACAATAAAATTATCAATACCTAATTGAACCAAAGAAATTGTTAATCTCATATAAAAAATACAAATCTAATGCTGCTAAATATATTAAACTCTAAAATACAATATTTTCTCCTTATTTAGTCAAATAAAATATATAACATTATATCTAAATAGTAATAAATATAAAATATTATTATATATTCCTTTTTATATTATACTATTATACTATATTATTTTTTATTTCTTCGAACAAAATATACAATTTAATTCATGAAAAATATTAAATCCCGTGCTGTATAGCACGGGTCATGATCTAGTATAATAATATTAATTGAACAATACGTTGAAATAAATATGTTTAAAATAAAATAAATAAATAAAACCTTGCAAGAGATCAAATCAGATCCGAGAACACCTGAGAGATATTCTCTCTGAAGTGGATCATGAAACTTCAGTATATAGTCTTGTGTTGGGGTGCCATCTTTCTGGCTCATTATATCTTGTTGTTGACATTTATGGACCATATATATTATATTTCGTCATGAATCAAGACCATGCATAGAGTTGTTACAATTTTCATATATTTTTACTTACCGACTAGAAATTAACCCGCGGTACACCGCGGGCCTATAATTTTACTAAATAATAAAATTAATTTTTCTTTTTCAGGTTGAGAGCCCGCGGTATACCGCTGGAAATATTAATTTTACATGTTGTGACATTGATTTTAATATTGTATATTTTTAGTAGAGAAAATTGTGTAGTGTATGAAAAAATGATAAATTGTTTACAATAAAAATCTGTCATATTAATTATGATTTAGCGGTAAAATGGAATTTTGAAATCTTGGTAATGAATGTTTTAGGGGTAAGGAAAATACTATGTTTTTAGGAAAACATATACTTAGACACGCCGCACGCGTTTGTATTAAACAGATATCAAAACAAAAAAAAGAATTAAATCGTAGAAACATTACATCATTAATAGAAAATAGAGAATACACAATGAAAATAAAAATTAGACTGCTCAAAAACTGAAGCATAGATGCTGAGATATCAAAACAAAAAAAAAGAATTAAAATCGTAGAAACATAACATCATTAATAGAAAATAGAGAATACACAATGAAAAATAAAAATTAGATTGCTCAAAAACTGAAGCATAGATGCTGAGAGAAGTTTGTGTGGATGAATGAAAAATGATTTGCCGAATAGCAGAGCCTATATTTATAATGTTTAGAATTAGGTTGCTTTATTAGGGTTTTAAGAAAAGCATATTCTGCAAAATATTCTATAAGTAATTAGCGTAGATATGCTATAGTTAATCGCATCAGAATATCTAAACGAAATTAATTTTAGTTTCTATCGTTAAAGATCTTAACATATTTGATTTGTACTTTCGCGATTTTTATAATTTTGCAGTAAACCAACTTTATGACTTTCCATAGTTCAAGATCGTAGAGAATATTTGATGGTTAATCTGATAATTAGAAGATTCTATATATCTTAGCGAAATTTTTTCCCTAAATAACGAAGAAGTTACCATATACTTCGGAATTGTATTTGTTGATTTAATATTCGATTTTAAATTGAATAATTTACATAGAAGTTACCATACAAGTCCGGTAAGGTTTCTTATTTTTGTTGTCAAAAATACTCATATATCCGATTATCATTATTTCTATCAAAAATACCCAATTTATTAACTACATTTATTTTATAATAATTCAAAATAATATAAATATAACATCAAATAAAAGTGAAATGAGAATTATATAATTCTGTTTAAATTAGGTCGAGAGATTGTAAAAAATTAGCTCAAATTTGTTAATTAGCATTAACTCATCATATTTTATATCTTTTTCTGTAAAAATCGTGAAGAATATATGTCATAAATAAAGAGTTTAGATAAAGAAATAGTTAAAAATATAGATATTTTAGAGTTTATAAATTAATTTCGTTTTGGATATTGCCAAAATTTAAAGAAAGATCCAATTGAATATTTTTGGTCACAAAAAAAACCTACGCATAAAGATTAAAATTTAGGATTATAGTTATTTCAAATTTTAAACTAATTTAGATTTTATAATTTTCATAAATACGAAAATAATTTGTTCACCTATATCAGAAAATATAACTAAAACAAATTACGTAATATTATATAAAAATTTAAAATAAATAACTATTTTCATTTTATGGTGTAGACAAATTATTATTAGTATTTATGTAATTTAGTTTCAAAAATAATTTAGAAAAATAACAAACATTAAATTTTATAACAAAACAAATTATTTTCGTAAGAATTTGTCCCCAAATTAATATTTACAAAATATTTATTTTAATCACATATTCTTTCTATATAAAAATAAGTAGTTAGATAATTATGGTTAGAAGTAGTTAAGGTAAATAACAAATATGGTTAGTTTAAAGATATCATATATATATATATAACAAATAAGATTATTTACCATTAAAATAGGTAACTTATTTGTTTTATTATACGTATATTCTCTTAAAGAAAATTAATAATTAGGTGTGGGGAGAAGTTAAAGAAATTAACAAATATGAATTAATAAAGGAATTAATTTCGTTTTAATATTGCCATAAATTTTTTCAGTTTGAAATTAATAAAGGCTTCATTTATTAGTTTGAAATTAAGACAACATCCCTAAAATTGCTTATCCAAAATCCGAATAGACTAAAACCGGGTCAAACCCGGATCCAAAAGACTTTTTGCAAAAATCCCCTGTAAAAATGTATATGTAGATTTTGACTTATAAAGATTTTATTATATTAATCTAATTATTACACGAAATCTGGCTGGATTCACATTCATTGTGTGAGTGGTTATAAAGAAAAATAAGGCAGAGAGGGGAATGGATTGTTCTTTTTAAAATTATATTGAGGTTAGATTCCCTCACCTCTACATACAACCAAGAGAATCTGCCAATCACTCCCATCTTTTATTTCATTGAAAAAGATATATTATAGCCTAGCTTTACAAGAACATATATGACATTTTTAAACGTTTATATATTTTCATTTAGGGCTGTACATAGATATTCAATATCCATTTTTGATTCATTATCCAGTAGTCGAGAGTCATATACCGGATCCAAGACATTTATGTTCCACAACTCAACAAACGATCTAAGAAAAGTTTTTTACCCAAAAAGTCAAAATAGAAGACAACACTAAAAAAATTGCTATCACATAGTTAAAAGTAGCTCATCTGCATCATGAATACAATTACATGTATATGAGTAAACATACGACATGCGTACATATAATTTTGGTAACACATATGTGAGTCTATCATTTTCTTCTGTCGATATCGATGAGTCTATATATATGTAGATTCTTCGTTGAAAAATGTTATATGAAGGGACATATATACAAGTATGGTGGGGGCAACATTACGGGAGAGCAAGCCAAGATAGAGATGAGACACAACACAACAAACCTTACACTTTTTCTTTACCTTCTTTTTAGGAGCAATTCTTGTATTTATACACCACCTTTACTTAATTATAATACATCATTGTCTATCCTGATATATTAATTATACAAAAAAATATCCGTGTGGTGGATATCTTTGCTTGTTATTAAACCGAATTTAATAGAAAATTAATAAGATTGGAACTATATCAAGAGATTATTGTTCTTAATTGATCATTCCCAGACAATCCACCAATGAAACGTTTTAAAAGTATGTTATATATGTTATAAGATTGCAACTTATACGGATCGTGCAAAATCGTAAAAGGCCATGTTGCAATAATATATAACATAGACCATTTTTACATAAGAAGAAAGTAACATAGAGGACCATATTAAAAATAGGATATGAAACGGTGATAATAATTGCAAACAAAGAATTTGAACATACGATATGTGTCCATTAGGATCGATCGATGTCTATACGACCAAAAACGAAGTGTACAAACCTTTTTTATCTGATCTTATTGCCTCATATATGGAAGAAAAAAGTAACACGAAAATTACAAAAAGGCAACAAATAAGAAGAAAGTGGTGTGAAATCGGGAAATGATCGAAGAACGAGAAATAAAAAACATATATTAACCAAAAAAATAATAATAATCATAAAGAAAGAAAGAGGAAAGGGTCAAGAGAGCATATATTCTCTTCTCCAACAGAACCCCACTCATGTTTCCAGATATGGAGTGAGAGAAGAAGAAAAAGAAAAGAAAAAAAAAACATCAACCACTCCAAAGATTTATATATATATATATATATATATATATATATATATATATATATATATATATATATCTATTAATCTCCATATCTTTGCCAACAAACCCAACAATCTTTGGAAACAAATCACCCTTTCGTTTTTATTTAAATTTCTTGGGTCGTTTCTTAAATTTGTATGTGTTTATTAATGGAGATCAACAATAATGCCAACAATACTAATACTAATAATAATCACAAGGCAAAGATGAGCCTTGTGTTGTCAACAGATGCTAAGCCAAGATTGAAATGGACTTGTGATCTTCATCACAAATTCATCGAAGCCGTTAATCAACTTGGAGGACCTAACAGTACGTACTTTTGTGTGTTTCATCTTCATTTTCATGTTTCTTGATTGTTTTTTTTTTAATACTTGTTTGTTCTGTTTGTGTTTGTAGAAGCAACACCTAAGGGTTTGATGAAGGTTATGGAGATTCCTGGGCTTACCTTATACCATCTCAAGAGTCATTTACAGGTTGGATCCGTGTTCACCAGAATCTTTGATCGGATCAGTGTTTTTTTTTTTTCTTCTTGAAAATCTAATTCGGGTTATTTTTATATTATTTTTTTTCTGTAGAAATATCGGTTAGGGAAAAGCATGAAGTTCGATGATAACAAGCTCGAAGGTTTGATATTTCTGATCAAACATTAACACATGGACAATGTTTCTAAGACGAAGATAGAAACATATTCTTGAGTTTGAACTCTGATCTGACCAAATTGGGCTAATATGTATGTTTTGTTTCTTGATGTAGCAGTTTCCTCTGCTTCAGAAAATCAAGAACCTGAGAGCAAAAATGATTCTAGAGATCTCCGCGGCTGCAGTGTCACAGAAGAAAACAGCAATCCAGCTAAAGAGTAATGATCAGAGAATCTAAAAGAATAAAATCTTTTATAGATAGATTTTTTTATAAAGATGGAAATTAATTGTTTGTTTATTTGAAGCAGAGGGTTGCAAATCACGGAGGCTTTACAAATGCAGATGGAAGTTCAGAAGAAACTTCATGAACAAATCGAAGTAATCACATCAATCAAATCTCCTTATTCTAAGCACAACAGTTTCTCTTTGGGGTCTTAAAAATGTTTTGGTTTTCAGGTTCAGAGGCATTTGCAGGTGAAGATTGAGGCACAAGGAAAGTATTTACAGTCAGTTTTAATGAAAGCTCAACAAACTCTCGCTGGCTACACATCTTCAAATCTCGGCATGGATTTCGCGAGAACGGAGCTCTCTAGATTAGCTTCAATGGTGAACAGAGGCTGTCCAAGTTCTTCATTCTCAGAGCTAACGCAAGTAGAAGAAGAGGAAGAAGCAGAAGAAGGTTTCTTCTGGTGCAAGAAACCAGGAAACAGGGGAATTAGTCAGCTGAGATGTTCAGTAGAGAGCTCGTTGACGTCTTCGGAAAGCTCAGAGATAAAACTGGAAAATGACAATAACCTTAATAAATCAATTGAGCTTCCGTTGATGGAGATCACATCTGAAGTGATAACAGGTAAGAAGAGAAGCTTAAACGACGTCGTTTGTGTTGAACAGCAGCCTCTAATGAAGAGGGCTTTTGAAGTTGATGATGATGAGCTCTTGAGGTTGAGTTTGAATAGTTACAAGAAAGACATGGAGACGTGTCCGAACATATGACTAGGGTTTAATTGAAAAAAAGAAACATTTTACTAAAGTTATATAAAAATGTTTTAAAAGAATCCAATAATATATATATCCGTAGATTTCCATAGATTATTGTAGAGATTTTGTGAGTAAGTCGCGGTGAAGAACGCATGGGAATATTCTATATGAGTCAACAACATGATATAATATATTATATAGAAAATGTGTGATATGTGTGTATAGATTAGGTAGGGAGGCTTGTGGGTGTGGTAAAGGCGGATTTGGGGGAAACTTTTTATGATCAATGAAAGAAGCAAAATGATTAAATTAGAGAGAGCTTTTTATCATGATGTTCCGACCATGATAAGCATGTTGGCTTCTCAGTGGTTGTTTTATGACAAGACAAACCAACACTTGAGTCCTGCGAAGCAATATTCGAATATCTATCCTTAATTTATTTACTAATTAGCCATCTTGAATATATCTTCCAACCCCATGCGAGAGAAGGTATTACTAATTGTTATACTCCTAGAAGAAAGAGAGTCACGTGTTCATGAAAACGAGGCTTATCTGTTTTTTGACCCCAAATGAAGAAGTAAAGATAGATCTATCACCTTTATGTATAACCCATGGTGTTCCGGTGGTTTGGATTTGCTCTTTTGGTAACTTCCTAGATAACATTTTTGATTATATATGTTTATTTGTTGGGATAAAATCTTTTTTTCCGTACAGGTTTACTCCTAAACTTAAACAATTTAACATCTGATTTGACTTAGTGTTTAACACAATCTTAGTTATTTTTTTTTTTTTTTTGGGTATGAACACAATCTTAGTTCAGTTCAAAAAAACTTTTCAGTGTTTCACATGGAGCGTTTTCTCATTTAATAGATTTTCAAACATATTCACAAGTTTTTAGAATCTTTAGAAACTTTATTGTTTATTATATATTTTGTTTTAAAAACAGATTTCCAATCTGCTTTTTCCATTAATATCTAGCAAGTTTTTGAAAAAGTTTGGCAATTTTTTGGAAGCTTTCAAGTGTTTTTCTTATAGTACAAACTTTGTTTATCTTTTGTTCATTGTTAATGCTAATTTTTATATCTCTAAATCATGAAATACTAACCCTAACTCCAAAATCATAAATTCTCACCGTCTTAAGGTTTGTCTGAGCTCAGACCACGACGAGCTCTTCAATCGGTCTCATTAATTTGACATTCGCCTTCAAACAAAAACCGAAGGTAACCTACAAGACAGAAAATGAGAAAAAGATATAAACGTGTATTGGGTTATTTACTGATGAAAATGGTAAAAAGCTAAAATGTTATTTATCAGAAAGAAATGATGAAAAGATGCTATCTAAGAAAAACTAGGGAAAGAAAGAAAGTTATAATGCACGTCCTAATTTCGCCTTTTCTTTCACCCGGCGGGTTACTGAGTAATCGAACCATTGTAAATAACCTAAGGGAAAATAATTCGTATTTGATGCATAGAAACAGTTCAATACGGTCGCGGCGCGAACATCGTGAAAGACAAGAGAAATATGAAAATTATAGACGTTTTTCCATTGTCTCGTCCAAGCATATATTTTATAGAACCCGTGACATATATCATCTATATAGCCAAAATCTTATTTTGTCTGAATTCAATTATATATTTTGCTTTCCCATTGTTTGAAATAAAATGGAAAAACGTTCTTGGTATCGTCCAAGCCGTGTAAATTATAGCTCTGATATTGCAGTATACGGTCGGTGCGGTAGAAACCATCTAACAAAGTTTATGCATAGTTATGGTATAAATAGTTAGCTGATATAATTTCAATTATTGTTTAGTGATTATAAGGATTGAGTCAAAATGTTGTTTCGGATTCGAAACAGTACCAAACACCAATTAATTTCTGCCAACCAAACCCAATTTTTAGGAAAAGTTATAGAACGAAATAATTCCTCTTGTGACAAGTTAGTTACACAAACTTATATAAGAATTAATAAGATTTAACTATAACCAAACATAGTTTTGGGTGTAAGCTTAATGTCATACATCACTTGCGTTTGATTGATGTGTAACGAGACTGTCTGATATGCACATGATACTGTTACCACCTTTTCGCATCTTATGTCGAGCTTGATTTATTCGAACGTATCCAAACAAGATATGTTAAAAGAGTACAATCAAAGAAATTTCACATATCTTTCTTTGATTGTACTCTTTTAACATATCAAAGTAATTTCACAAGGAAGAAAAAATCATCATGTACTTCACAACGCATTACCTCATAGATAGATTATACTAAATGCTCATTTACTCAAAAAAGTGCTACAAATTGGGCCAAGGAAGAAAAGTTTCATAATCAAGCCCATCTCATACATAGGCCCGTTTTCCTCAGAATGTCAAATAGCTATGCCCATATACACTAACACTACATTTACTCATTTAGTCTACACACTCTAATCAAGAATGCACAATTGGCCAACAGTATATTTCATAATTCATAAGATGGACTGGACATCATCAATATACTACTAGAAACAAGGAATGTTGGCAAGAGACTCCATGGACCAATTTGCAAATTTTCCAACTAGGTCCATTTTAGTCCGCATGAGGCTAAAGCCTATAAACCCCACCGACGCAGGCCATGGACACATCTGCCTATTCATTTAGAGTGGTCAACCACAAGCCGGTCCAAAGCCTAAACCTTCAAATCAGGACAAAATTTGGACCCGACTAAATCAAGATTGGGTCAAAACGACTCGCATAGTCGCATCCCTAATTAATTTGCTACTGTCATCAGCCAGTTGTTTTAATGATTGTGCATTAGACCTTTATCCACCGAGGGAATATATCACCATCATCTATAATCCAATAATAACATCAAGTTTGCTTTGTTTTGCTTTGCTTTAAACTTCTTTTGGATCCCTCCGACCACATCAGAAATCTCATTGGTCACATCAAAAAACCCTCATGGGAATAAGAATAATATTAATTTAAATTCGAAAAACAAAACAATCTCCATCAACAACATTCAAGATTTCACTATCTTACAATATTTCAAAAAAATGTATGTTTTGGGTTTTTTTAAGTAAAGGAAAAGTTGCAACTTTAGGACTAACCTCGAGAATGCAGAAAAAGCAAAGGGAGAGGAACTCAAAATCAGCAAATGGGTATTTTTGTTTTTTGGACCAACGACTGGTCTCCTGCTTGCTTTGTTTTTGAGCCTGCAAACAATATCCAATCCTCAGTTTTAAAATATGTTACTTTGAGAACAGAACCTGATGCTTCAGAATGTTCTTAGTTTGCATGTGATTAAAAATATTAATGTTAAAAGAAATATAAATGATAACAGTAAAGAAAAGTGTAGTCAGATAAAGAAAAAGATCGTCCCTCATGAATAAATCAGATAAGGAAAAAGAACAAATCATAATTAAGGGAGCTATATATCAAACAGAAGTGGTTCTTTTTGAATCATTGCATTGAGGATTAAGATCTGTTAATGAATCAGCAAGGTGGGAAAAAAGCACTAAGAGAGCATAAACAAACACGGACAGAGTAATAATTCTTGAGCTTGGCAAGCAAATATCAATCCCTCAAGCTAGAATCTAATGGTAATTTCAACAGTAGAGACTACAGATTTCTTCATTCATTATTTCTTGGGTCCAGAATATTTCAAATGCATGACTTATGTGCTCCATCAAATACACTATCTTCAGTAAATTCTATCTTAGACAACTAGTACATAGTATTGCAGGCAAAAGTGACTATGAGGAGTTATGTTATGGTTGTTTTTCGATATTGGTGTGGATATTTGTGAGAAGATATAAAGATGAAGTAGCACAAATAAACATGCAGCCGATGTTGTTGCTTAAAAAAGTGTGCTAGGGATCCTAAAGTGAAGGGGAGGAAGATCTTAGAATAATATAAAGAATCATTCTTAAAGAGGAAAAAAAACAATGTATTTGTTTCTTTTCGAAGAGGGTTACTCTGTTGTACCTTTTTTTTGCCAAAGTTTAATGCTTTATATGAGTAGCTCCTGTAGGTCGTAGTAATGGAATAGTACCAACGGTTTGCGTGGCCCACAGCTCCGGTCCGCTGTGTTCCTGCCATTTAACAAAACATCAAACAAAACCACTTTCCTTAACAACAAAGGAATTATGACATAGCCATAATCCACAACATTAAAGAGTGTAAACTTGAATGATTAGGATATAACCCATTGTCCTGAAAAGTTAAAGGTATTGTATACTTCGAAGTACAATTTTGAAATCAAGGAAAAAGCTTCCGATGCAATGAATATGCAATGCCATTGAACCGTAACTCAACTTTTTCATGCTGCTTTTTTTTCGTAGTTTAGTTTAAACTATTCGTCGATATATTCAGAAAGGAACACAGCATATAATGGAACTATAACAGCATAGGAAATTGGCTTATAACCAAATCACATAATTAGGAAAGGCAGCTTATAGATGGTGTATACAGAGAATCTCACTAAACATGTTCACTGGAAAAGATGTTCAAGAAAGTGCAAGTGTGTCAGTTTAACAGTCGCCTTCAACGATGTGGCTAGTTAGGAAGGTCTCCAGAAACCCAAATTGGGCCAATTATTCAGTCAAGATTGGAATGACATGGATATGGTTAGACAAAAGCAAAGGATAAATGGAGAGATGTATGGAAACCAATGAAGAAAGATACTTAACTTGCCAGCGGTTTTCGTGTACCAAACTCTTTTGTACAATCATTGTCAGATTCTTTCATAACAGCCTTAATCTACTTAGATTTCCAAAGCAATGTTTTTTAAGTGAATCTAAATTCCCCAGGGTCCCAGGGACCCACTGTGCTTTTACACTTTAAAGCTTCCTCCAAATCCCAATAACTGATATATAACAAGACTATATCTACAGGAAGGAACACACACAAAATCAGAACTCAGAAGGGCTATAATCTCACAACTCCTAACCCTCTCATTTCTTTGAAGAAAAGAAAGATACTCTGAATCTTCTTGTCTGCCTAAGAGCAGAAATGTTGGGTTCCAGTACAAGATCGATGCTTTTTCTTCTTGTCTGCATAGGATTACTAGCAGACAACAGATATAAGGTCTCAGCCATGAGACATAGAGAGTTTTTCCTCAAACAAACACAGCCAGAGGAAATTTCTAAGGTCAGGAGCATCGGTTTTCAATTCAAACACACCCTTGAAGACCAAGGAATGCTCAGGGAAAACAGGCGCGTTCTGGAGGAGGTTAACAAGAATACAGTCAAAGCTGAGGAGACGCAAGAACAAAAGAATAAGACAGATGACACATTCCAATCAAGCAAGAGACGTGTAAGACGAGGATCAGATCCTATCCACAACAAAGCTCAGCCATTTTCTTAAGCGGCACAAGAGCATTCAAATAACAGAAAAAGGCAATATACTATAGAAATGCAAGAAGAAACGGACAATCAACCTTATCAAGATGGAGGTAGGTTAGTTGGTTATTCTCGGGTTTAATTTTCAAGTATAGGTTTTGATAAGAACACACAATATTGGCTGGTGAAGCTATCAGTATTCAGAACGGCATTGTCTGTTCAGATACACCAGGAGAATACATATTTGTTTTCTTTGACTAAGTCTTCACTCTATTGTTTGCATTAGTACGTATAAGTTTTGTTCTTTGTGCAATCCTTTGACTCCCACCAAAACATGTCTTTATGTATATAACATATCTCAAAAGTTTTGATTTTCTACAACTTCACTATGCAACCTCTCTTTTCCCACAAATCTCTTAAAGCTAAATACGATTCAATATCTCAAAATCACGAAAAAAAAAAAAAAAACTTGGAATTTTCGGATCTAAAATGATTCTTAATGTTCACTACTTATGAATAAAACTCGGATCATGAATGACATAAAGCCATACCTTAAAGCAATTGCAATACGAAGAATTTGTTGGAACTAACGCCTACATTGCGATGCGATCCATCTAATAATCGGTAGATGAAACTCCTAAAATCGAAGACACTTAAAAAATAGGCTCAATGAAAACCAGAGGAGAACGAGGACTTACCGTTCCGATGAGCTAAAAAATCCGCCGCCGCCTCAGCAGTTTTCTTATACGGCGAGGAACCGCCATTTTTCACGACGGTTCAGCCGCCGAGAAGGCCTAACGGTACCAGGGAGGGATTCGCTATATCACATTATTTGCTTATTTTTAGTTGTTAGGCCCAGTCCATAAAGAGAAATCTATTTGGGCCTAGTTCTTAGACTTTTTTTTTTTCCCTGCCTTGAGATGTTTTGTGCTTGATGATTAAATTTTTCAAAATAGCCATCTATTAGTAAATTTAAGAAAAAAATTGCATGATTATAAAACTACAAATTAGCTAAATTAGCACATCGACAACAGAGTTTTTTTTTTCCATAATTTTACTTTTATCATTTTGTTTGTTAATTTATTTGAGCTATTTCAAAACTACGTAAACGTTTTTATCAATAAAACGACGTTAAAGAAAACTTATGAATATTATAGCAAATCCGTAATATGTATGTTATTTTTTAAGTAAGAAAAAAATTGTATGATTATAAAACTACAAATTAGCTAAATTAGCACATCGACAACATAATTTTTTTTTCATAATTTTACTTTTATCATTTTATTTGTTTATTTGAGCTATTTCAAAACTAAGTAAACGTTTTTTGATCAATAAAACAACGTTAAAGAAAACCTATGAATATTATAGCTAATCCGTAATACGTATGTTGTTTTTTTCCATAATATTTATGTTATTAGCAAGTTTATATCTTCTAAAAACCTCTAAATATTATATGTTTCGAATGCATTAAAGTTTTCAATATATTGCTTGTATAGTTGAGATCATAGAAGATTATATATTTATCATTGTCTATCAATAAACATCTAATTTATCAAATAGATTCTTAATTCTACTATATGATCTTGTTTTATGATGTGATGGATATATAAAAATATTTTTAGAAGCTAACATGTAAAATTTTTATTTGTTTATTTTTTTGTAGTGATTTAGCATTTGTTATTTATCTAATTTAATCGTATTTTGTGTAATTTACCTACTTTATTCAATAGGTCTATAGATAGAAACGATACGCAAAAATGTCCTAATGATTATATGACATCTAAAATTTCGGCTACAATTTGTACTTTTTCTCCAACCCTAGTGGCCAGTTTGCGTGATGCGCGTGCTATTTTGGTCATTGACAAGATCGTTAGGACATTGTTCTAATCCGTCTTTATGATTCTAATTGTAATAGCTAATTAGTAAAGAAATTGTTAAATCAATGTCTCTGTCAACGAAATTATTAGCAAAACTATAAATATGTTTATTTAATTATTTTTATTGTATGGTCAAATATCGGCCGATAGTTGTAATTTGGATTCTAATTAAGCGTGATTGGTGACTAGGTTTATGATAAACGACAAAACGTAACACCAAGTCACCAACTGTAGTCTGTAATATATTCATTGTTACTCCTTGGAAAGAATTTTTTTTGTCTCATTTTATCGATAATGGTATGTGGTTGGTGTGTGATATTCAGGAAGGAGATCAGACTCTTAACTATACATTAATGAATTATATAATCTATACGTATTTCTTCTTTACAATAGGGCATTAGGCTAAGAAATTAGTGGTTTTTCTTTTATATAGTTGTACGAAGGTCTATATAAAAATCTTTTATGATTAATAAAGAATCACCATCCAAACTTAATTAACCTTATTCTCAAAAAGAAACTAAAATTGAAGGAGAGAAATTGCACTAGATAACCTAAAAAAAAAACAAAATTAAATATCTAACCTCTAACCCCTCTATTCACTCTCTTTCTCTTCCTATCTCTCTCTACCTTCTTTCTAAAAAGCTAATTTTTCTTTTTTTTTTGTTATTCACCTAAATCACCCATTGAAAGAAGCCTAAATATTTTAATTTTCTCACGGCACATGTTACTAGAGCAAGGTCGAAGGCGGAAACTCATATCAAATTATCAGAGTCGGGTTGTAAAAAGTTGTAACTTATAAGAAAAGGTTCATCATTATTTTTATAAATGGATCATCATTAACGTAACAGTAACTAATCTCAAAATGGTCCTTCAAAAGAAATTCCTATGCGGAAAGTATAGATTATCAAACCGTCTTACTTTTAGATTATTAAAACCCGAATAAATAATCAATTCCAAATGTTAACATGTTTTTTTATAGTCGACACTGGAAATAACATCTAAACGTTAGAAATCTCAGGTAAAAAATGATTTGAAATACAAAATAATATAAGAGACGTTTTGTCAATTCTTTTTTTTTTTTTTCGTCTACGTTTTATCAATTCACATATTACACTTGATTTTGAATTTCAATTATACTATAAGAAACTAGAGTCTTGTTTTTTCCTGACTCAATAATTTTACATTTGGAATATCATATTCAAAACTACAAAAAATGTGATTTTTTTTGCATATTCCATCGTATGTAGTTATATAATAATTAAATTACATCATTACACACGTGTAAAACTAAATTAACCACAGTTAAACAAAATTATATCCATAATTAGAAGCTAACTAAACATAGCGTTAGCGATACACAATTTATAATTTTGTTAGAAATTACAGTATATTTGCTGTAAATATACCATACATAAAATTTATACGATATAGAAGATGATAATGAAAATTGAAAATAATTGTGGGGTACTTAGAAGGGAAAGACTTGAAGACATACACACATAATTGTGACCCAAAGCTAATCAATAACGTAAACAAAATGCAAAAGAACACTAAATTTCGGCGCCACACTAATGACAAGAAGTGAGAATAAGAGGTCGGTAAGAGATAAGAGTCTTTCAAATGGTGGTTAAGGAATTTAGACATTTTATTTTCATGATTAATTGCAAAACATGAAGTTTGGCAATTGTCACAACAAACTCTTCTTTGCTCCACTATTGGGGTAAGTACATACATATAAAGTATTCGTGCGAAACAAGTTTTTGAGGGGCATTTTTGGTAATATACAAAAATTTCTAGTACATTAGCAGTTTAGCAGAAGTCAAATATATCACTAGAACACGTAATACCTATATTAGAAAGAAACTTTTTCATGACTTATTTGCTTAGTTAGATTATCTTTATAGGAAAATGGTCCCTAAACAAAATCAAATTGGAAAATGTTAAACGGACCAAGATACAAATACGGGGTGATAAAGTAAAATTAACAAAAGTACGGGGCAATAACGTAAACTTTAAAAGATAAGAAACTGTAATATGTACAGTGGAATAGGAAATTGCAGGGCAGCTGTAATTGTCCTTTAGTACGATGCATGTAATGGGCTTTTGCCACGTATACACATTGTACTCAAATCCTCCAACTAATCCCATCCTCTCCTCGAATATATTCGATTAATTAAATTTTATTCTATGTATTTAAAATATTTGTCACACTCACATTTTTTTAGTTTTACACAAGTTAGTAGTTACCCACTGGTGAAAAGTGAAAACCCATATCTTACAAATGTCCCCGTAAAATCATTGCTTTTTGGTAAGACTTTATATTCAATATTTTATACAGATTCAAAGTGTATAGTCTGTCTATATAACGTATGAATAGATATCAAAACTAGTGACTAAAATATTCAAAAAAATCTCTGTTTCACCTAAACAAGAAAAAGTAAAAAAGAAGTTGTGAATTTTCATTTTGATATACAGTGAATGTTTTCTTTCTTTTGCTGTATGTTTTGGACGTTTGTGAGTAAGCACTTATTATTATTTTCCAAGTCCTAATTATCTTTCATCACTGCCATGTTCTTTACCGATATAATTACATCATCGTCACATGCATCTTTTTATTTATAAATAAAATAAAACTACGAAACCTAATCTTCTCATTAATCACAAAGCAAAAGAGTTTAATTAAACACACTATAAAAGCAGAACTAAACTAAAGCTATGGATTTGTCTTCCAAACCAAAACAACAACTTATAAACTCTCTTTCCTTCGCCGGAGAAATGGGTGTTTGTTACAAAGAGTGTTTGAAAAACCACGCGGCTAATCTCGGCGGCCATGCTCTCGACGGTTGCGGTGAGTTTATGCCGAGTCCCACCGCTACTTCCACCGATCCTTCTTCTCTCCGTTGCGCCGCTTGTGGCTGCCACCGTAACTTCCACCGGCGTGACCCTTCCGAGAATCTCAACTTCCTCACCGCGCCGCCGATTTCTTCTCCTTCCGGCACTGAGTCGCCGCCATCTCGTCACGTGTCTTCTCCTGTTCCTTGCTCTTACTACACCTCAGCTCCTCCACATCACGTGATTCTCTCTCTTAGCTCCGGTTTTCCTGGACCGTCAGATCAAGATCCAACGGTGGTTAGGTCAGAGAACAGCTCAAGAGGAGCAATGAGGAAACGAACCAGAACCAAATTCACGCCGGAGCAGAAGATCAAGATGAGAGCGTTCGCTGAGAAAGCAGGTTGGAAAATCAACGGCTGTGATGAAAAGTCTGTGAGAAATTTTTGTAACGAAGTTGGGATTGAGAGAGGAGTTCTTAAAGTGTGGATGCATAACAACAAGTACTCACTTCTCAATGGCAAGATCAGAGAGATCGAACATGGTCTGTGTCTGAACACTATTACTCACAGCTGTAACAATGATGGTGATGGGTCTTCGTCTTCTTGAAGAAAGATTCAAGATTTGGGTTAAACCGAATTAGGATACTTTAATTTGGGAAAATATGACCATTAACCGGTTTTAAATCTTCTTGATAGTGTTTTTTCTCTAACATGTAATCGATCTTGATATATATTATTATGCAGTTTGATCTTTTCTGTATCCACTTTGACAGAGATGTGGTCAGAGATCATAAATGGGTTTGGTAATAAATAAGGTTTTTAATCGGAGGTTAAAACGAAATTTGATAGAGCATTTCTAATTATAGTAAGTGCATAATCGCTAATTGTGATCGTGAAATCAAAAGATTCGTTTATTTGTTTACTTTGCTATTATATATTCTATGTTATCTTCTGCATTATTAGAAATAATCTCCTGAACTTTAGAGAAAGAGTAAGTAAAGTTTGCTTAATGAAGATACGACGACGTGGTTATTAAAAATTGCAACAAACTATGTCGTGGCGGAATATAATTAGGTCATCTGGGCGGCACATTTTGTTAATTATTTGTATACTATATCTATATGATAGGATTAAAAGTTATTAAAATGCGGGCTTATCTCTTTCCATTTAGGGATAAGCTTCGGCAACAACGACCTTGCTTATTTATCCTAATTAAGAATAATACAGATGTTACGATTATTAAAATATCTACTCTGTCTCTATGCAAAGATTTGGCTCTCCCCACACCACTGATATTAATAACTCATTTTATCTTTTCATACAAAAATTCTATCATGTATTACAGTATTAACGAATCATAGCGAATGCTTTATCACGTATAAATGGTTTTAAGTTTAATGCTGGAGACAAAAGTATTTCACCATATAGATACGAAGTAACCAAGCCCAAAGCCTTAAAAAAGACAAGCCGGTACGGCGGTACGATCCGATCCATCATCCATGCCAGACAGATCAATGTATGCCAAAAGCTCTATGTAGATCCGAGTAAGTAACTGCATGCTAGGCCTGGGCACGAAGCGGATATCCGAAAAATTTAGGATATTTGTTATTCGATTCGATTTAACCGAATACTTGATTTTGTGATTTGCTTTGATCCGAAAATTTCCGGATATTCGGAATATCGAATATCCGGATTTTTTTGTGATATTTGCGGATATCCGCTTCGATACTTCTGCACTTATTAAAACTCTAAAAAGCTAAGCGCTCGCATGTAAAGCTACGAAGAAAAATATAAAATTTGGGAAAAAGTAGTCTTCACAGGATTCCAACTTCTTATTTTTAAGGGATATTGATTTTTTTTAATAAATTCCACTTCACTAATAAAAACTATTAAATTGTGTCACAAATACAAGTCCGAAAGATAAAAAACTGAGTTTACAAATACAAGCCAAAAATATATTACGATATACACATATATATATATATGTATATATTTCTAATATATATCGAAAAATACGGATCGAAGCGGATATCAAACTTTAAAAAAAACAATATTTGTTATTTGCTTCGGTTTTTACGAATACTACATTTTTCTATTTGATTTGCTCCAAAATATTACGGATATTCGGATTTTTCGAATCGAATCAAAACGAATACCGAGTCGAAGCGGATCTAACGAATATTTTACCCTAGCCTACTACATGCATTATTAATGATCAACATATGGTCTACACTATGTTTGTATTATCATTTGCAGACAGTGGCAGAGCTAGAATTTTAGTTTATAGAGGTCATATATAATTAATTAATTTTTATTTAATTATATATTAATATTAAATTATTTGTTTTAAACTAAATATAATATCTCTAAGAATAATTTTGGAAAAAAATAGAATATGTCTAAAAAATTAATATTTATCACGATTTTAAAGATTTGTAGCCATATATTAGAAAAAACATAAAACAAAAAATGGAAAATAAATTAATGCTAAAAAAATTAACATGTAAGGGGTCAAATTAAGAAAATTGATTGATGGCATGGGGGTCATTATGGAAAAAGTAAACAAAAAATATACATAAATTATTGTTAGACTTACCTTAAAAACCAAAAATCATAAATGTTATGGGGTCAATTGACCTCCCTCCCTCTTCACTACCTCCGCCACTGTTTGCGGGTAAAATATAAATGAAAGATCGGTGTGTGATTATGCATAATCACCATATGGTAGGATGATATGAAAATTTTGTATGCTACTAATTAATATTCCAATTGGATATTCATTCAAAAAAAAAAAAAATTCCAATTGGACAATATTCCAATATCTCATAATTTTTTGATGTTATTGGTCCGATGAATGAATGTAGATATCAAATATACACACTACCCGAAGACATGTTATATAACGATGTAAAATAGATGGATAACAAAGCAAATTAGACACTAAACCCCAAAAAATAAAATAGCAATGAATAATATTCATTTCGTTAATTAACAATGAAAAAAGTTTATGCGCCGCATCAGCATTAGTATTAGTGATATATTTAAAAATATATAAAATTTATTACTATTTTGTTGGTAAGTACTAAGTAGCAACCAAAAAAAAAAAAAAAAAGTACTATGTAGCAACATATTATTGTCGTAAAAAAATTGATGTTATAGTTCTGATAAATTTTATATGTCAAAAAACTTTAGAATCTCAAATAATCAATAACCCTGCAAAATCCCTTTGATGAAATTTTCAAATGACAGTCCATTACTTCTTTCTGTTGGAACTGCAGAAAGAAAAATATTTCAAAAGTCCATTATTTATATAGTTAAGCCCATTAGAGCTTTTTCTCAGACTAGACCCAATAACACACCAAAGAGGCAAAGACATTAATCGACCTAAGTATTAGGGAGATTTGGAAAGGTAAACCGTCAAAGCCTACTAGAATACAAGTCGAAGATGAGAATCCGGTTCAGTGGGGATCTTGCATCTGGAGTCGTAGCAGCTCATGAAAACTCATCATGAATTCTATCTAGTTTTGGATTGGCCATAAGATATGGATAAGTTAATCACCATATGGAACATGTTTATCATCTATCTAGTTTTGTATTAGTGTATGACAAATGATTATCAAGACAAGTCTTCTTTGAGTTGGAGATGTATATGACGACTGTGACCAAATTAAACATGCACCAATTACACTTTACCAAATCTATTTTCCATTTTTTACAAAATCTCAACTATCCTACATTTAAAGAGGATGGGATACGTCAGCATCAGTGTCTGGTCCAGATTTATTGAGAGACACGTGTAGCCTTGCATCTCTATTGCACGTTGAAAATGAAAAGAAAAATGATTATTAATTTGCTTAACACCTAATAGAAAAGGACCAATAAACGATCGCACTCGAAATTAAAAAGGAATTTTCAATTTCAACATAAGATGAGCATCATCTGCCAAATACTCTCCTACATTGTCAATCAATTTTGTTTTTGGACCGTGACTTGGCCATTTTGGACGGTCGAAGGCCATATCTCTCACGCGACTATCTACACGTATCCGAACCCATTCTTACACCTACAAGGCTACAAGTGTTCACTAGAAGCTACACAACATGAAATTGCTGATATCTTTTGATGGTCACCGCCCATAGGCATTTGTATATTCCGGTCTCGGCTGTGATCTGATCCTACCCTACTCGATTTATATATTACTATCCAACTTTTCTAAATAATAAAATTTAAAATATTTGTTAGGATCAAAAGAATTTATTTAAAAAGTAATTATCTAAATAATTATGAATTGCTAGTTAGTTATCTTTAATATTCGAACTACCCAATTGAATACTGAAATTTTAAAAATGACTCAAATCCGAATTTAACTCGTTGGAGTTGTGATTTTTAGATATACAAATTAAAAATAATTTTTCTTTTTTAATTTCGAAATATTTTTTACCCGCTTGGTATTCGATATCATCCTATTTTTGGCTTGTTCACCCAAACTTACAATCTGCAATTTTAGAAAAGAAATTAGGTTAAAAGATGATTTTAAGTAAAGAAAATCTCATGTTTGACCAAAAAAACAATTAAAGAAAATCTCAGATTATGACTTTTAATTTTAAAAGATGATATTTTTCTTTTCTGACAAAAAATAACAAAAGAGCTGATTTAATAATTAAAATGAAACAGTTGAAACTCCAAGAAAAAAAGGGCAAGTGAGCCAATGAATGATTGAAGCAAAGTGACAAATGGAGAAGAACCCGAAAAGCAATGTAAACTTTGACTCTTTGAGTTCTCCCACGTCGAACCATGTCCGTTCTCCAATACAAAGTAAGAAAACAAGTTTCATTACAGTTATTCGAATAATTTTAATTCAAAATCCTAATGTTTTTATATCAATATTCATTTTATTCTCTTCCTCCTTTCGGACATCTTAAGCACAAGGTAATTCTCATTTTTCATAAAATAAAATAAAATAACATTTATATCGAAAAGAAAAAAAAGTAAAATTTGGAAATTTAATGAGAAAGCGAAATTTCACATATATATAAAGAAGAGTTGTGTAAGAGTGAAATAATTTCCCATCCACAAATCTCGCACCTGATTCCATAAATTGATCAGTTTTTTTTTTTGTCTTTCTTCAACGCATATCTAGTGACTCTGTACACTTTCTATGTCCGAATTCGTCTTCTCCAAATAGTACAAGATTTTGACGAAAATTTTGGAATTTTCTTGGAGAGAAAAAATCATAAAACCACTAATCATGTGTATACCCTTGAAGACGTTTTGTGTTTTACTTTAACGCGTTGAAATTAACGATGGTGGGAATTGTTACGACGAAGACTTATACTAACTTCGATTTCTCCAATAAAGGTTTTGGTGTTGGTAGTTTGAAACAGTTTGTGTACGGAAACACTTTCATAGTTCTCGATGCTTTCTGGGTTTCTTTCTCTAATCTCTTCTTCTTCAGGTAAACGTTTTTGCATCTTCTTCTTTATTCTTCTTTGTTCTCTGTTTTTTTTTAATTTACTTATCGGTTATTTATTTTTATTTTTTTGGGCAAATTTACTTATCGGTTAATGGGTTTATTTAGAGTTGATTCAGACAAAGAGACAAGTTTGGTCGTGTTCGAGAAACAGAACACAAACGGTTCCTCTGTTTACGGAGATTATCAAGATCAAAAGCAAATTTGTGGAACACAAGACGATGATCAGATGGAAGGTTCTCTGGTTTCGGATAGCAAGAGATGCGAATTTTATTCAGACAAAAGTAGCGTTGGTTTTGTAGAAGAGCCTAAAGCGTTTAGCTTTAAGTTTCATGAGTACTCTGCTAGTACTGTTCAGGAGGAGGAGAAGAAGAAGATGGGGAATTTCTCTGATGAAAACA